GTTGAAATGAAGTGTGTATGTACACCCCCCCCCCCCCTCCAGTCTGGTTTAACCCCACATAAAATGCACATGCTTTCCAACTCTTCAATGAACTAGTTTTTGATAAGTTTATTTTTGCTTGTATTTTTCTGTAGAGGAGTGGAGAGGGAGGGGGACTCTGAACTCAGTGCGTATGAGGAGCTGTAGTCAATCATTTGGACTGACATTACTTTGTAGTTCTCTCCAGTTCATATTGCAAAACCCAGGATATGGTCTGACACAGAGATCAAGTAAGAGTATGTTAAATATGGGTAAAAATTCAGAAGGAGCTTGCAGGTGTAGATTTGGTATGAGAAATGCTGCTAGTAGTGGTGGGCACAGGAAAAACATTCTTATCAACTGATAAAGAAGGGGGTTACAAAGGCAACTAAACTGAAATGCTGAGTTGTTAGACTTTTGAGCTAGTGCCAAGACAGCCCTTGACACCAAAGCAGAGAAGGGAAATGGTTGTCACCGGGCTCCTAGAGCATATCAAGAGATGTGCAATTGTAGCATTTCCAGGCTGGCATTAAGCCTAGCTTGCATGGGAATAGGGTAGAAGAGACATGGCAGCACAAGCTTCACCATATGCAAGTAGGTCAAGTACAAACTAGCCCAGAGAACCTGGCTACTTATGCAGGCAAACCATGCTGCCATGTTTACCCTATCATTGCTACTGACCAAACTGAGACTAGAACAAAGACTTTTAAGGCAATCTTTTATTGGACTGCATAGTTAGAAGAGATAGAAAAGCTTTTGGGTACCATTGTACCCTGTAGGTCTCAGAGACAGTGGTATCTGAAAGCTTATGTTCCTCCCAACTGTACAGTTGGTCCAGTAAAAGATATCATCACAAAAATTGTTTGCCTCTCCCATTTTTTCTGGACCATTATGGTTACAGCATCATCCCCAACACTACCAGTTAGAACAAGAATGCTTTTCCATGCTAAAAATCACATCTTCATTCTGCTCCATAGAGCCCCTTTGAGGCACCAGAGAGCACACTTCATTTATTCTCATGCCATCAGAAGAAAGATTCTCAAGTAGGAAGATGAGATTATTAATTAGAAAATCTTGGAAGTTACTCTAAGGAACAGAGCACGAGAGTTGGGGTACCAAAGAGGCTTTGTGGCCAAACAAGGGATCCTGAGTTTAGTCTGAATGGAAGCCATAACCCTTTGTGTGCAAAGGATGTGAGCAAGCATCTTCCTGACCACACATCTGACAGGTAGTGTGGAAAGCATCAGCATTGCAAGGCTGAAAGCTTTACCGTGAAAGCCAAACTCAGACATCCGAGGATTGTGTTGGTAAAGCCAATATTACACACACGCACACACAAATAAACAAACCACAAAAAACCCAAAAAACTTGCCTTACTTGAAATGCTCTAAGGGCTGTTCAGCAAGTGTCACTCTACAGATCTAAACCATCTGGCAGACTGAAATCAGGTATGTTAAAACCTATCGTAATGTCTTCAAAATGCTGCAACTTTGAAAAAAAATAGAAGAGGTGTCGACTTTTTAAAATTGATCTTACTGTAACACTTAACAATTGAAATAAACAAATTTTACAAATCACTTTTCTTGTGGCATTTGAGGCCAAATATATATATTTTTAAAAGAATCAGACAACATTTTCAGAGACTAGCACAGAGAAAGCTGATGGGAGATTCCCCCACCAGCAAATGTTTTCATGCAGCTGACATTTACGTTCCTTCCCTTTACCAGTTTCCCAAAGAAAGCTTCTTTGCATAATTTTGAGTGGTAGAGTGGAGTCCTCACTCCATTTTCAACATGGTGCACACAGATGAATGTTTCAATCCCAGCCCCTGGAGAAGGGTTTTGAATGAAATGCACACTGGGATAGGCCCTCCTGTAGTTTCTTTATTATTAGCCTGCATTTCCACCTAGGCCATTTATTTTCTTCATTAATTCCGGCTGTTTTGCCTTTCCTAGCCCCCTCGTGTTTTATAGGCACAAGATAGGGATGGCTGGGCATCCACTAGCATGGCTGCTACAACAAATTAACAAATAGCTCCAAAATGGTCATGGAGAGTTTTAAGTATTGCACAGGAGAGTGCAACTCTGAAAACCAATTCATACTGTTCAAACTAATTTAAAAAAAAAAAAAAAAATTGCCTGTTCAAACAACTGAGGGGAAGTATATGTGGAAGTTTTGTTTTTTTTTTTTTTCAGATTCAAACTCTAAATCTCACTCTTCAGTCTCTTTTGAACTATAGGAATCCAAAAGCATATCCTGGCACCTGCCAAAGGTTTGAGAGTTAACTGTAGAATAAGATTATACAGTATGATGATGCAAGGGTTAATAGGATTCACACAGCTTGATCTTCCCCATGAACATGCACTTCCCATGAGGGAGCACTGCAAGCTTCCCCTTTCAGTTGGAGGAAATTGGATAGAAGGGACTGGTTGTGAAAGACTTCAATGTAGTATCCTTTGTGGCAAATACAAGTAGAAATTTTGTTTCAAAACAGGTGGAAAAGTTAGAGTCTGTCCAACTCAGGCGTGTCCAACACGCAGCCTGCCAAGCCATTTTATCCTGCCTGCAGAGCCGCTGTGGCCGGGTGCAGAGCATGGAGCCAGCAGCAAGGTGAGGCGGGCAGGGCTGGCCCGTGGGCCCCAGCCGGCAGTGAGGGGAGGGGAGGGAAGCTGCTTACCCCCGCAGGGCTAGGCTCATCAGTGAACCGGGTCCTGGCACTGCTGCCCCAAGGGCTGCGCGGTGTGGGGCTGCCCCAGCCGTGCCTGACTGGACGAGCTGGGGACAGCATGTGCAGCTTCTTCTCTGGCTCTGCTCCTTGCCTTCGGCATGTGGCCATGGGAGCTGCAGCATGGCCCTTGCCCTGCCTACATGCATGGTGGACAGAGGCACGAGGTAAGTTCTTGCACGGAGCTGGGGGCGTCTTGGGGCCAAGCCGGGGCTGTGGGGAGCGCGGTTGCCAGAGCCAGGCTGGGCGGGAGGCAGGAGGAGCCCGGCCCAGAGGCGCTCTACGTCCAGCTGCCTCCTTGGCGGTTCAGGTCCTGCTAATCTAGCCTGCATGGCTGAGGATGGGGGTCTGCATGCTGCTGGAGCAGCCCGTGCAGTGAGGGGGTCCTAGGGGCCGACCCCCACAGCGTGCAGCCTGCCTAATACATGCTGGTGTCGTCTGGGGCCCACAGCCTCACTAGATCTGAACAGACCTGGACTAGCTTATCCTTGAGATCTCTTCCATGTCTCTGCAGTATATGCCTACAATTTCTATTTAATTCATGGTCATTGTGGTTAATTAAATGCAGGATGCATTTGCAGGACATGGACCACTCCTCCCCCCCGCCACAGGCCTTTCCCCCTTGCACAGCAGTGGGAGAGGTGGCTGCCCAGGCCCATGCCCCTATATATTAACTGCCTGCAGACCCCATGTAGACTGTGGGCGACATCTAGGCCCTTTGCAGGCCACATGTGGCCTGCAGGTAGTCAGCTGGGCAGCCCTAATCTAGTCCAACCCCCTACACAGAAAAAATGATGTCCTGTTCCTAAGCTATACCAAACATACACACTTTCTGAAAACCACAACTTCCCTAGGCACATTTCCAGACCCATTTCATTGTTACTTCCTGCAATTTCATTGGTGTCAAAGGTCACGTGACATCACTTCCTGATGTGACACCACTTCCTGTGAGGTCTTTGAATATGGCTCGCTGGCCCACTGGGGGATAAAAAGTTTGTGATCCGGCCCCACATTCGAAAAGGTTGGAAACCCCTGGTCTAACTTAATGTAAATCATGGATGGTGTTCTCTCAATCCCTATTGTAGCTGTTCACTTCTGAATACAAAATAAAAATTGGCCACCCCTAGGTTTGGTCACAAAGGAAAAATCTTTTCAGAAATCTGTGTACCAAAGAGGAGTTAGAGACCCCAAAAATTCAGATAATCAAGCAGATAATTCATACCAGCAGTCCAGAGCACAGAAGTACTGACCACTCATCAGGATTAAGTCCATTGCAAAAATGTCAACAAGCTTAATTACAGAAGCTCTGCATATCATTATGATCTCTTAGACTCAGTTACAATGGGAAGCAGAGAGATCCTAGACCGTTTTATAAATGAAATACTTCAAGAAATATTTCTTGCCTGGAAATGTCTGGAAAGAAGGCAGCAAGTGCCATGAACAATCCTGTGATCTGAATTCATCAAGAGGCTGTTTTTGCTAGCAACCACACGCTGACTTCACCAAAAAAAAGAAAAAATGTGTATTAAGCAAATTGTACTGTGAACAGCTACACTTGTACTGTACTTTCATATGCTAAAAGTTATAGATAGCAGTGATATACTGCAATAGTATCATCCTGTGAAGACATTCAGTCCCTCTTCTGCATTCTTTTTTCCATTTCTGGAAAATACAGGTACTATTTTTAAAGAAGTTCTCCACCTCTTACCAACCGAGTCTGAACTCTGACAAGGCCAAAGATAGGCTCACTCCCAAAGGGCACAGAGCGACAGCAAAGCAGTTTGTGGTGACTAACAATCTAAGGAAGCTTATACATTCCTTCCTCCACAGTCTTCTTCACTGGGAGTCCCCTTGGGATGTAGAACATCCCAACAGTCTACACAGGCCAGTGATTCTCAACCGGGGCGCTCCAACAGTGTGGGGTACCTTGAGATCCTTTAAGTGTGCCATCCTACCATGCTTCTCTCTAGGAGACTGTATACAGCAGCAGCAGCAGCAGGAGGGGCTCCTTCCTGCCAGACCAGGCTGCAGCAGGGACCACCATGCAGCTGCTGTTGTTGGCTCTTCTCAGAGCCCAGACCAGCAATGACACCACCGTGGACAGGTTAAAGCAAGTGCTGTTCCTGCTCCTGTCCCTCCTGGAGAACTAGGAGCACACCCTGGGTTTCCATGCACGGAGGCAAAAGTTGGGGGGTGGGAAATCATGTCTCCTTATGTGAGAGAAAGGAGAGGGCTTCCTCTGCCTGTATTCAGAGTGCCACTCAGAACCATTACAGAAGGGTGCCTTGAGTCAAAAAGGGCGCATCTACACTTCTCCCTGCGGCAACGTAGTGATGCATTGTTGCTGTATGGCACGCTACAGCGACATGGCGATCACATGGGTCTACGCTTGATCACCAGCTAGTATAGCATGCCGCTATAGCAATTTAGCTGGGAAAAAAATTTACCCGTGCATAGCACACACGGTGCAGTAACAGCCTGTACTATGTTATGCTTCAGTGCTTCCAAAAGCAGGTAATGAAGCACAGCACATGGCAACATTATCATACAGCAATGTGTAGACATGCCCAAAATGCTGTTAACTACTGACATAGGCTCTTTGCAAGCTGCCCTTCTTGTGAAGTGGAAGTGCAATAGTGCATGATCAAGGTCCTTTTGTCCTTCCTATAGAGTATTTGGGTCTAAAATAGGTGTTTTATGTTTTCTTTATTTTCTGACATGCATCTGCTATAAGAGATCCAGCTTATTTCTGAGTAGAGTAGATACTACAGAAGGGTGTTTCCTTCAATTCATAACAGGAGTTTCTTTAACTTCTGTGCCATCCACTTGTTTTAATAATTTTTTCTTAGTGCTTGTTACTGTTTGAGACGCACATTACTCAGAATTAACACAATCCACTCCCACACAAACAAATTGGGCAACTCTGGTGTGCACTTTAAATTTTCTTTTATTGCAAACATAATGCAAGTATTTATCTTTGAAAGGTCTTGAGACCTAAAAACTACAAACACGTTACTGGGCAAAAGAAGTCTCCATATTGGATGGCCTAGACCCGGTTCCTTGAAGAAAATCCAAAAGGCCAGAAGTGAACAAATGCATCTACCTGTATGTAGAGTCTGAAATCATTCTTGTCCACCAACAAGACACAGCTAAAGCCCCTCTACATGTGCAGGTAAAGACATAATGGGATCCAATTGTGCTTCTTGCCATGCCACACATGGAGGAGGGATGGGGAATGGGGCAAAGATAAACAAACAACACAAAACAGCCCTTCAACAATGCTCCAGCCCCAGAGGTTTCCCACACCATGATGGCCCTAAGAATCATGGCAGCTGTGACGCCCAGGGCCTGGGGGTTTCACGCCGAGTATGGTGCACTCCTGCCGTTCAGTGCCCTGTCAGCACGTGTGCAAATTAAAGCTCAATAGTAACCAATTATAAAGTTAGTATACATTTTTAGGTCTAACTTTATAGCTCCTTGGAGCTTTTTTATCATGTGATAGCTACTTTGCATGCGTAGCTGGTCTCCAGTTAATTGCACAATACCTGTAACATTTAGAGGGGGCCCAAGTTAAAAAAACAAAAACAAAAAAACCCAACCTCTGCTTTTTGTAATGCTTCTGAAAGCTCTTGTAAAAAGGAGGGTGAAACATGGTCTGACACATGCAGATGGACTACATTTGTTCCTAGCATGAGATAATGCCCCCCACCCCCAAGCACTTCTTGCACTGCAGTTTGAAATGCTGCATTACCAATTTGAATCCTATCAGGTAAACCATGCGATACCAGAGCCATTAGAAGGCTGCATCTACAGGTTAGCCCCTGAATTTTGCCACTATAAGCGGTTTTATTAGCATGTCTGAAAAGATTAAGTACTCCTTTAACATATTAAACAAGGCTGGGTTTTTCTGTTTGTTACACCTTACAAGATTTGGGTTAATGTATATGTGCTGTCTTAGACACTCCCTATTAAAATTCATCAGGGCCAGAAAGGGTGCAGTGTCCAATTATAGTATTTATGAGGTGACAAGAACTAGACTGCACAGCTAATTAACATCCCAGTTTACGTTGTACAGATCTATAGCTCTGCAGTCACTTTAGTCATCAGGGAACCTCAAAATTCCCCATGCTGCCAGATTGCAAGTCTCATTGATTTTAAGCTGCTTTTTTTTAAATTGCAATAAGTGTTGAAAGGACCCGTGCACATGTTTAACTGAGGTTTAGACAGCACTAAAAAAAAAAAAAAAAAATCCAGTCATTGTCCCTTGATTCTTGTTACGATTCTAAGCTCCCTATGCAGATTCTACCCATCTATGAATTCATACTTGAAATTAAAACAAACAGAGGCGGGTGCAAAGGTAATGGTGGGGGGCGGGGCGGCAGGGGAGGGAAGGCAGAGGACACAGCCCAGAAAGAACCAGCAAACTTTTGAATGTCAGCCCCTCTAGGGAGATTAGACTGTTATTTCTAAACGTAGTCATGTAGCAGTTGAAATATTAGATCTAATATTAGCATTAAAGGCTCAGCCACATTTATTAACATCTGGGAATCAAGGCGGCAAGGATCGGCTTCCTTAAAATCAGATTTGTACTTTCACGTGTACCTCCCTATAAAGTCATGTTGGCCCTGTACTGAAGGCAAAATGCCAATAAATTTAAGATGGGAAGGTGTGGAGGGAAGACGGCCCATCAAGACATTAGCAATCATATGCATGCATGTTTCTCTTTCCAGAAAGAAGAGCTCTTGGAATACAGTACTGTTAGAATTCAGTGGTATTTAG